AGGGGGTGGGGGAGGGGAGGAAGGGAGGGGAGAAATGAGAGGTATAGAGGAATATAGAAGAATAGACGTGGGAGGCCGAAGCCCCCGCGTCTCACCTGGGCCCCCCGGGGGAGCCGGCCCCGAACGAGCGACCCCGACCGCGCACTGACCGGGCAAATGGCGCCGTAGACGATTTCCGGCGCTTAAATACTCTCGGTGCCGTCCCGCGCAGCCGCCCTGGGTTCCCGCGCACCTGTGCGGCCCCGCCCCGCTCACCTGTGCTCCCCCGCCCCCTTGCGTCCCGCCCTGCGCAGGCGCTCTGTGGCCCCGCGCACCTGCCCTGGCCCCGCCCCTCGCCCACCAGTGCTGGCCCCGCCTCCTGGGCCCCGCCCATCCCGCGTCCCGTATTTCCCGGCAGAGCCGCGCCCGCCCCAGTCTGGGTCGCACGTGCTGCTCCAGGGGGCGCGGAGGCACCAGTGCTCGGAGCCGGAGCCCCGGCCCGGGGCTGCTCCCGGGGCTGTGCAGAGCCTGGGAACGGTGAGGATCGGCCGAGGTTTGGGCTGTAGCTGCGCACGGGGCCGGGTCCCTGGGGCTATGGAGCCGGCAGGGGGGATCCACCCGGTGCCGCAGTTCCCTGCGGGTACCAGGGCTCTGTCCCCCCCTGTGGAGCTGGTGCCTCGGCTCCGAGGTTTCTTGAGCTCCCGGCGCCCCGAGCCCTGGCCTGGCCCCCAGAACCCCGCCCCAGTGTCACCTTCCCAGTCCCGCCCCGCTAAATCTGCCGTTCCCTCTTCTCTCCTCTCAGGAGCTCCGGCCACGGGACCCGCCGCGGCTCTGCCGGTCCCGGGGGCGCTGAATGGGCGCGGCGGCTCCGCACAGGTACCGAATAAAGGCTGGAAATCACCGGCCGTGCTGGGGCTGCCCCGGCGCTGTCCATTCGGTCCTGCAGTCGCCTGCACTGGGGTCCCAGCCCCTGAGCAGCCCCAGCCGGGGAACAGCCTGCGAATGGTCATCTCGGCGCCTCCC